GGATTATGTGTTTCGTGAGACTTTCTGAAAGCTAAAAACTCATTGAAAAGTTCATTAGTAACAGAGTCAGTGGTAGCTTTTGTATTATTGACAGATGTGCTAGTGTTATCAACAATGGCAGCATGTGCAGAGTGGTTGGGATGTATTCTAGGACCCTTAGGGCCAATCCAATTTGGAGGGTAACCAATGACTTGAAAACATCTTTCTGATGAATGGTTAAAATAGCCACAGTGAATGCACTTGGTTTTTGGTTTGTCTTTGTTGAAAGATGGTTTTGTAGTGGAGTCTTTGGTAAAGTATTTTCTGGGATTTTTGTAGGAAGTATTTTGAGATTTATCCAACATAGCATGGAAATCAGTGGTTTGAGATTTTGTGAGCATTGCAAGGGAATCAGATGTTTGGGTGTTATTGGTTAAGGATCGTTGACTTTCCTCCTGTAGCAATAAGGAGTATACTGTGGACAGAGTGGGTAGTGGTGTAGATAGTAAAAAGTGGCTTCTCAGAGAAGAGTAAGAATCATGAAGGCCAACCAGAAATTTCATTACAGAGTCATGCTGTTGTGCTGCAGCCATTGCCTCAAACAAAGCACATGTACAATGAACAAAAGCACCACAAGTACACTTAACCAAAGGCCTATATGTCACATACTCATCCCATAAAGATTTGAAAAGATTATAATACTGTGTGACAGACAGAGAACCTTGATCAATGTTACTCAAAGATTTTTCTAACTGAAAGACACGAGGACCACTAGACATCGCATTACGAGTACGAATCTCATCCCATACATCTTTAGCATTTGTAAAAAATAGTAGAGATTCGCGAATATCTTTAGATACTGAATTTAACAGCCACGAGAGGACAAGGTTATTCGCCCGATTCCAAGCAAGGTACAGAGAAGGATTACCAGTGGGAGATGGAGTATCGACTGTACCATCGATGAAACCAAGCTTTTTCTTCACACTCAGCGCCATGGTGACTGCTCGACTCCAGAAAACATAATTGTCGCCGGCGAATGGATCGGCGACGATTAAGGCACCAGGATTGTCCCTAGCATGAAGGAAGTAGATCGAAGGCGGATCGTCAGAGGGATTAGCAGCCATTAGCGATTGAAATTAGGGTTTTGAAGGATCGATTATAGAGGAGAAAACATATCAGAGTATGAAGAAGATGCGGAAAAGTAGATCAAATCGTCCCAGCGAATGATACCATAACAAAATTCAAGTGAATCTGGAGAAAAACATAGATGAAATCTAGACAGACATTGAAGAGGAAAATAAAGCTGCGGATGTGAATTGCAAATAATGAACTTAGGGTTACAAGAGATGTGTTCAACCCATATATATAGTCCTAATACAATGAACTAAAATTGTCAACATGAATGACAACTTATCCTACTACAAAACACTACTAAGGGTAAAATAGGAAAAATACATATATTTGTGCATATATTGTCAAGGGTGCTTTTCATTTAGATTTTTTTTATATGTAATAATTTATTTTAAATGATAATTATATTAAGAACTAAAAAACTAAAATATGGTTCACACTTCACTCTAAAATTAATTAGGGTGCTTTTCATTTAGATTTTTTTTATATGTAATAATTTATTTTAAATGATAATTATATTAAGAACTAAATAACTAAAAAATGGTTCATATGAGGTGTCAACGGACATCATTAGAGTCAGCACAAAAAAACATAAGCTGTCGATTTTTGCAAAACAAATAATTTAATCAACAAACCGACTACCATATGCTTACATATTTGGCTCATTCACTATAAAAAAAATTAACATATTATAACAAAAAATCCTACGTTAATATCTTCCAATAAAAATTACAACGGATATATATTTCTATTGTCTAGCTTCCATTTGAAAGATTCCAACGAAATATTTAGTTTAAATGATTTTTCCATTAAAATTTTAAATGCAACTTGATGATTCCAACTGTCTTTGACTTTATGAAGTTCCGTCGAAATTTTTTTTCACTCACAGTTCAACCATTGGAAAACTCATTAGAATCGTCAAATCCAATTGAAATTTCAGTAGAAAACTCATTCAGATGGAATATAATTGATGAAATTTCCATTGAAATATGCTAATGGTAGGTTGTCAAATGTTATGAAAATTGTGTTTAAGGCGATTTAATCGAGAGTTGCGATATAATTATAGTATACTATAATTTAATGATATGGAAATTAAGAAGGTCGTAATAAACTATGTGTGCGAAAAAAGAAAAAGAAGACACCGATTTTGCCGATCACCTGTGGCGATTGGCAAGAAGAAGGGTTTATTAGTAATTATGATATATAGATACAGTCAGAATGTTTTTGTATGATCTTTGGGAGATCATGTATGTAAGAATATGAAGAGGAGTCATAGTGACCGTGACGATCTTTGAGGGAGTTGCATTGGTTGGCTTATAAGTGCTTAGGTTAGCTTGGAATTGTCTTCTCCTGAAGTTGAGGGCCCGTATTTATACACGAAAAAAAGTGTTGGTGTATTAAATGAGGGGAGTACGTTCGCAAGATTGAAACTCAAAGGAATTGACGGGGGCCCGCACAAGCGGTGGAGCATGTGGTTTAATTCGATAAAGGATTGGCACTAGGCCAATGCCAATCTCATCTATTGCAGCAAAGAAAGAGGAAAGAATCGATTGATAGCCTTGACCCCCTTTTCGGAAATTGATACTGAAAGGCATCCTAATTCAGGTGTGTTTGCTATGGCGTAGGGTGGCGCCACGTGTTTCTATGCAAAAGGTGATGGGACATCTCGGGTGGAGCTATATCAGCTTTATCAAGGCGCGTTCAGACAGTAGAAGTGATTGCCAGACTTCTCGAAGAAGTTTTCCTGAGTGGTCAACAAAATAAAAAGATTTTTTTTTTTTTGTTTTTGTTTTTTTTTT